TACAAAGCTGATGTATGAGATCAACAAAGTTATGATAATACACTGACTAAGTCAAGTCTCTAAATGAGTCTTGGGTTCAGTTCCTGTAAAATATGATCTGTATTGTAATAATTTTTTAAATGATAAAATAACATTTGAACTGAAAGTTCAAATTCATTTTCCATGTGAACTTAAAAGAAATTACAATTGGGCTTTTTTATGATTTGGTGATTAAGTAGACAAATGGTCTACTTCATGGGTACCATAACAGTTAACACCTGTTTCAACTGTTTTATATTTGTATTGGATGGAACCTCAGCAATCCAATATGTCATGAAAAGCAAAAACCTAATATAAAATATTTCATGGTATGGAAGAAATTATAATAAACAGAGTATAGCTTAAAATATAAAATGCTTATTTTGCACATTGACATAGGTTTCATCTGGATTTCTGAAACCAATGTTACAATTTTGTGTAAATGTAATCCCAGTATTTGTGCAGGTTGGTTAAGTAATTATTCAATACCGTGAAATAAATACTGTCTCTAAGAAAACAATATTTCCTGAGTTGCAGAGGTTGGCAGAAATGAATCAATTTGCCAGTCAGAAGTCAAGTACACTGTGTTAATTAATACTTGGTTTGTGGTTTCTCTGAAATCTGCTTTGGGGACAGGGACCCCTCACTGGCAGAAGGGTGGAGTGGTCTCCTAAGGCAGGTAACCAGGCATGGCTTTCCAGGGTTCGTGTGAGAACCTTCTCAAAGCACTGATACCTTCCTATTTCTCATTAGGGACACTCTGAGCAGTTGTCCTTGTGCACATTTGTTTGAGTTCAGGGAGTACTGTCATTGACTTGGTTGTGCTTTTGCTGTAGAATGAACTGTTAGAAAGTTAACTGCTCTTCTCCTTTTTTTTTTTTTTTCTTATGTTTGTGGTCCCTGGTCCTGCAGGCAGATGAGCCTGTGGTTCTGGACAAGACTTAACAAAAAGGATGATTTTGTCTGCTGCTTCTGAATTTCTGGTTGCCTGAAGAGCTTCAGCTGCCAGAGCTGCCAGCTGAGGGACCCCAAAGATCTCCTCCCCTCTGCCCTTCCCACCTCAGTTAGACCAGGGAGCTCCTCCAGTAAATGCTGTTTTTTCTGCCAGGTATGAAGCTAGACCTGATGGCTGCAAAGGAAGCTCTGCCATCAAGTGAAGGAGAGCAGCAAGAGCTTTGGCTTTTGGCTGATTACAGTGTTCTTATAAAACTAAAGTTTGTCTTATCTTCTGCAGGTAACTACTTGGACCTCTATTTAAGCATTCTTTCAGTGGCTGAGGATAGTGGGGCTCTAGTGACCTGCATCTCTAGGAATAAAGCTTGGAAAGTGCTTCTTAAAAGTTACTTGAAGTGGAATTTGGCAAACCATTAGATAACTGTGTTTGTTGGCATAATATTTCCTGGGTTAGGGTTAGTGATGGTAACTTAAGTATTGAGCATTAGTGTCGCTTCTTAGTGTTTTTTGTTACTGGGCTGGTGTTTTGAAATCATTAATTTTGAGAATCGTTAATTTAATTTACAAAGTCAGAAAATGTGAAACTTTGTCTATTAAAATCTGAAAGCTTATTTCAAATTTGAGATGGGGCTGTGTTGTGCCTTCCATAGCAGCACAGGTACAATGCTGCTGGTGCTCTCAGCCTCCTACAAAAGGCTTATTCTCTTGGGTGTTTCACAACTTGGAAACTTAATGCTTTTTTGAAGAAAGTTTGGCTTCATACTAAAATTTTAATTACTATTAGTAAGATTACTAAAATAATCTGCCGGAGTGCATCCATCAGATGTAAGTTTCTGGAGCTTCTCAATATAGTGTTTCAAAAGTGAAGTTTATTTTCAGAGTCAGGGTTAATACTCTCAAGATTTGTTTAGAAAGAAGTTCATCTTGGGCTGTGATGACCTAGCAGACTTTTTTTTTCCTAAACACAAATTCAAGTTTGCTTTTATCTCCGTTTATCTGATTTGAGGTAAACCTCAATGGCTTACTGAATTGCAGCTGCTTGCAGTGAGCACCATAAATGGTTTGGGCTCTTAATGACTTCTGCATAAATTTGGTAAGTCTGGAATGATTCTCTTGCTCGTTTCCCTTCAAAAGATGCTAGCTTTGTCTTGTTGAACAAAATCTATTTAGCCTCTCAATTATAAAAGAAATTGATAACTTTCCCCTTGTTTTTAGCTACTCTTACTGTTTTCAGAAGTGCTAGAACTGCCTTTGCCTGTTTTGGAGGGGAAGAAAGGCTTCAAGACCAGTGTCACGTTTCACGCACCTCTTGCAAACTTCCTTCACCTATGGGAATAAACATAGGTGAAAATGTATGTAATTGTGGGTAGCATCACAATTCATGAACTGCTGTTGAAATTAAAGTTTTCTTAACTGTAATTTCTCCTCAGAAAAATAGGAAACTTTAGGAAATAAAATGGAGGAGTAAATAGATATAATTGGTGCAAAGAGCTACAGTAAAAGGAAGGGAGGGGAGGCAAAAGGAGGCAATAGCTGGAAAATAGTTAACCTAAAATGAAACATAATATATTGCTTCACATATTTCATCTTCAGATTTGAGACTTTTTTTCCTTCTATAGTAAAATGTATCAGTCTAAGTGTAACTCAATTTAAGACGCAGCTCTGAGCACTTTATTTGTTCAGTGCACAATGGAGATGGTAGTGACTAGATCACCTTTATATAGAAAAACAACTGAATGAAAAATGGTCAGAGTGATACCTCCTCATGCATTAAATTGTGCTGCAGCTTGGACACAAAGTGACAAAATGCCTATTGCAGTGTGTCTCTCTTATGTGAAGAGCTGCTTTGAGGTACAGACCTTCAACTTCTGTCTTTCCAAAAGCCCCAAACAGTCTTCCCTGCCTTCTCAGAGGTATCATGAGATCTGACAAATGGATTGTCATAAAGTATCTTATGTGTTGAAAGGTATCTTTATAGCATGATGTAACAACTAAACCCACTGGGTACGAACTGAAGATGTTTCTAAAGTGCCATTTGCTCCAACTTCTCTCCTGTCTGTACTGTTGTGGGGTTTTTTTCCATGAAACCAGTTTAGGATGTTTGCATTCCCTCTTCTTACTTTGTCTGTGCTTGTTGGATTCTATCAGTTGTTCTATCAGTTGTTGTTGGGGCTGAGCTGTAAATCAGGTCACCAGGATGATTCAGATTAAAAATAAACTACAATAAAAAGCTTGGAATTCGCTTTGTCAGCACTTAAATGCCCTGCAGAGCATCACTGCTATTATCTAAGCCATCTCTTGTTTGTATTCAGTTTAGAAATCAGGCATTTGCAGCTGGAACAAAAAATCTGTCTATTCCCAAAACTGCAACTTCAGCCTCACATCTGTCATGTTCTCATCTCTAGTTTATCTCCTGTACCCTCTGATTAAAAGCATCTTGGTCCCCTGTTTCACTGCAAGTAGTGTGGTGGTACTCCTCTCTTCCTAAAAGCTTTTTATGGCTATTCCAGAGTTAATGGAAAACTTGTAAAGCAACATGTAAAGCCACTGTGAAGTGGCTGCTTCGAGGAAGTTGTGGGTTGTTTTTTTTTCTGCTGGTATTGGTAGCTTGTAAATCTGAAAAACTGAAATCTTCCCTGATTGTTTTCTCTGCTTCTGGGAAACCTTGTTCTGGTGAAACATGCACCAGTTTTCTCATACAGGCACTTCAGGGTTTTGAAGGAGAAGAGGGCATTATTTTCTCAGACTTGTGGAATTGAGGAGTCAGGAATTGCTCTGGACAGGCTTCATTTGCTGCCTCTGCTCTGGCTCCACTTGAGTTAAATAACATGAACTTCTGAACTGCACTAGATAAAACCTCCTAGTGTGCACTTCCTCCATGGTATTTAAGTGTTGTTATTGATATTTTGAGAAGCCGATTTCAAATGGAGTGGCACTGCTTCCTCTGGGCTATGATAAGTCATCTCATGCATCTAGCCTGTGTCTGCTCGCTTGCATTTGTTATTAAATTGTGTTAGCTGAGTTAACATTAGCTTAAGAGTTTGGAGTTGCTTGTGTAATTGGAAGAGAGCAGAGAACTAAGGAGTGGAAACTTAGTTTTGAAGCCAGTGGTGGGGTGAGCTGGAGGTTTGGTTTGTACATGAGAAATTGAGCAAAATCGTGATAGGCTTCTCGAGTAGCCCCAGTACTCTGTTTGGAGGCATCCTTTTCTCCAGGGAAAAGGAAATTGTCCTCTTCAAAATCAGTTGGAGCTGCTGTGTTTTGAATTGGTTGGTGGGTCTCAGGTTGGAACACAGATAAGCTACAACGTAAGATGTATGCAAACAGTTGTATCGTTTTAAGTGCAGTCATGTACATTAAATTTGCAGTTATGGGTTTAAATACAGGTGGGAGATGAGCCAGACCCTAACCCAGGTCTTGCTCCTGAAATCACTGAATGTTGCAATAGCTTCCTGTGAGCTTCCAAGCTGTGTTGTACAATGATGCTGTGTCCTGCTGTTGAGGTGTGAGCACGGTATCGAGCAGCACTAACAACTGTTTAGACTTTTTTGGCACTTTCTCAGTCTCAATAAACCAAATGGCAGTAGCTCTATACTTCAATATAAAAAATAGCACAATAGAGGATCAGGTTTTTTTTAATGTTATTTTTTTTTTTGGTCTTGTTTTGGTTCTAGTTTTTGACCTTGATATAGCAAGTCTTGTGCCCTCCCAGCTGTCTTTTGATCCTACTGTTAGAATTGTGTGGCAAAGTATGTTCTGTGACTGACTTGTTGTACTTACACCATGTGTACTTTCTAACTAAAATACGCATCAGTGTGTTAGAGCTCCAGTATGCAAATGCAAACATCTGTTTGGACTCAGCAAATGACTTGCAAAAGGTTGATCTGGTTATTAGTCAGTTGTTGACAAATGTTTATTGCATGGGAAAAAATTACCCAGAGTACATGTACTCATGGAGAATTTCTATATGTAAGCCTGTAAACTTTCTCCTATGTATTTAGTGACCAGATCTTGCTTTTGTTTTACAGCTGCTGCAGAGGGCAAAGGGAAAAGTGGGGAAGACTTTTTTCAGAAGGTAAGGTATTTTAGTTCTATGACAGCAGCTGACTAGAGGAGAAATTATTGCTCATTCATGAGATGAACTAATTAGACTTCATGTGCAGTTTCTACTGTGTTGATCACATTTTAAAAGATGTTTGTCACTTAAAGTGTCTGTTAGCCACCAACCATGCATGGGATGTGATGAGAAATAGGATCTTTGGTGTATGCTGCTGTCATCCCTGCACAACAACCTCTTAATAACTTAACAGTTTTAAGAGTTCTTTAACTGACAGTGTCAAAATATGCATTGTCAAATTTTGTTCTACTTAATAGCAGGGTAGGTTAATCCAGAAGATATTGTGAGGTGGTCTTAAGGATTTTCTCTCTGTGGATAAATGCTGCATCCTGTTATTGAAAAACTGACTTGCAACCTCTTGTGATATTGTTGGAAGTGTAAATATTTAGTTGAGAAATGCAAAGGCCTTTTAAGAAAGAAATGCACAATCCACAAAGTCATTCAATAAAGTTTGTGGTTAGACAAGAGACACGGAAGAACAGAAAAAAAAAAATCCTGCAGCAACTAAACTACAAAGAGAAACATGGTCAAGAATAATGACTTGGAAATAACTTCTACAAGGCATCATGGTATTGGTTTATTGCTGTTTGTGTTTTTTTCCAAGAATAATGTGCAAAATATTATTAACAAATTGCATGTGAAGATCTGCATGCTGTTAAAAAATGAGCTGTTTTATCTTGATGCTTTATACTGAAATGTCTTGACACTCCTTATTGACTTGTAGTCCGTTTAAGTGTTTTGTTGTACTTTTTATGTTTTCCTTATATTTATAAATGGTACTTCCAAAAGGTCTCTTTAGATTCGAGAGAATACTTGGTCTTTCACATGGTTGTCAGATGCTTTGATGAAGGTTACTGGGGAGGAGTATGTATGCTGCCAAAAAGTTTGGTTTAGGAAGAATTTTGTAGGAGTCTTCAGATTTATGTTGCTCTTGACTGACCGTGATATTTTTCCAATCGTGGTGCTTGTGCTCAACTGCCCAATATTAGTGTGCACAGAGGGAAATGTGTCAATAACTCTTCCTTAGGATTTTACTAAAATGCATGGTTTCTTGCTGAGACAAAGCCGAGCCATAGCTGCAGCGTGTGCTTCCTTCTGCACACTATTCATTTAACCACATTGTTTTCTCTCACTTGTGTAAATCTGATCTCTGTTCTTGAAGCTGTGGATAAAGTATTTCCTCTGCGTGGGGTTGAGTGACTTTTATATTTTCCATGTGTACATGGATACCTGGTTATTTACTGCAGTGATGATGTACCTTAGTTATGTAGTTATTACTGTAATAGCAAAAAAACCACTATTTTGAATTCAACAGGAAAGCAAAATGTGCTGAACTTGAAGTATTTGAATAAAAGAGTGCACTACTTATATTGATAATACAGTGACTGTCTTGGCATTAATATCTCATTATATTTATGCACAGATATGATATGGGCACAGCATGGGTGCTGCCATGGGTTCAAGCTGCTTCGTTTTGACATCAACTCAGTAGTGCAGATTCCTGAAGTTTCTAAGTACATATACACAATAGTAAAGCTAGTAAAACCAGATGGAAACTATCTTCTTTGAGCTTTCTTTTGTTGGAAGAAATCTTTGGACAGTTGCTCATAGCTTACTCACTGTCTCTGTCTGTGCAATTTCCTTTAATCAGACCTACCCTTTTTCCTTTCTCATGTGAAATGAATAAGGCAGAGTATCTGGAGGTAAAATGAAGAACATTTTCACGTGTTTCAGGTTGTGTAGTGAGGAAGAAAGTGATTTGTAGCATTAAAAACACGTTGCAAACTAAGGCAGGAAGATACTTTCAAGAACTTGACATGAATTTGAAGCTATAGCACATCCTTTTTTTTTTTTTTTAAAGCAGTTTTGGAAACGAGACTCCAGGACATTATTGGCAGGCTTTTGAGTGGAGCAGGGAGGGGGGGAAGTGCAACATTCAAGAGACACATCAAGAACTTAAAAGTATAATTTGCATGAATAATGCAAATAATATTATTATATAGTATTTTCTGATGAACTAACCTCAGTGCACTGGAGTTAACTCTTGAGTGGAAGTGGTGTGAGAGGTGAAACAAGTTCCCATATGAATGTTGAAATGACAAGTGAAGAGGCAAAGGTTTGAGAAGGTGTCAAGACATGCAGACGAAGAGGGAGGAGAGAGGAGGCTGGTACTGGTGTGAGTGCTGGCAGATGGCTCTGGAAGGGGCTGCTGGTCTGACCTGTGACTGCTCAGGGGAGAACAGTGCTCAGCTCCTGATTAGCTTGTCCTTGGGAGGAACAGAAGTTGCTCACACGTTCTCTGAAGTCAGGGACTCAGCCTGGATTGTTGCCCTATGCAGAGTATGCCCTAATCCATCTCTCAGACTTTTAAAGGAAGTTAATACAAGGGTTTGGTGCTAAGTAGTCTTTTCCTTGGTCTTTAAACATGAGAAAGGCAGTATTACTTTGGGTTTTCGTAATCAAGCAGACTCTGGGTGGATGTGAACTGCTCCTATCAACTTTTAACTTTCAGAGTTTAATAATAACAGTTTAGATGCCAAAATGCATTATTTCACTGAGTATTTTAACAGAAACAAGCACATCTAATGCAGTTTTTGGTGGAGTTACAGAATAATCCCCAGTTTTTAGCTGCAAGGGCCAAAATTCAGCTAATATTTCTGCCCTGTCGTGGCAGGGAAGATCAAGTGATGGAGTGCCCCTCCCTCTGCTCCTGAATTGAAGTCAAAAGTAGATAAATGTCTCTTGGTAGTGTAATTTTAAAAATTCTGAGAACTTTATTACACTTTGATATTTCTAAGTTTTAGGGTTTCCCTCACTTGAAACAATACTCACGTCATCCAGATTTTGCAGAAACCACTAGAGAGCCGCTAATAATTTAGCAAGAAATAAGTAAATAATGGGCTAGTTTTCTCTCTAGAGCTTTTGGACCTGCAGTTCAGTGACAGGTAATCTTAAATAAATATGGATTGGTTTGCTGTTGTGTTACATACTATTTATGTAAAAAATCCTTGTGGACCTTGTTCTTTAAATTGTTGTTCTAATTTATTCTGTGAGAGGAATACATAAGTTATTACTTGTTCTTGATCCAAAGCCCATTTTCAGCTGATGGTGGATTTTTTCCATCAAGTCCCATAACATCTGGTTCACGCCTCATAGGCAAGCAGTGCTTTTTCCCAGACAAAGCCAGGACATGGTTCCAAGGAACATATAATTTATGTAGCACTGTAGATACGCATGGCACTCTTATATAATATGTAAGAAGGTGGTGAGCCTCTGCCCTGAAGAGTTCATAATCCAGAACAGATGAGGGTCAGCCGTGTGGACAGAGAGGAATTTAATGCATCATTTCGGTTTGCTTTCACCTCTTGCATCATCAAGGTTTTGGGTTTTTTTTTTTCCTTAAACACTTGGCAATCATAGTGCTCGTGGTCAACTTTGATTCTGAAATTTCTCGGGACAAGAGTGCGCCTCGAGCTTTATCCGGGAACTGTCAGCAGTGGGGTGGGTGATAGGTGAAGGCTGTGGGTTCAGTAGGGTTTGGGTGGAGTCCTTGGGCTGATGTGGGACTGCATGTGCAGAAAGTGGTGACTGGAAATGATGCACACCTGGTGCTCTGCCCAAGTGCTTGACTCTGGGTCGGAGTTAAGCTCTGCAGCTCAGCATAATTCGGTGTGTACGTGTTAGTCGTGGGCTTCTGGAGTATCCCTGAAGGGGCTCCTCAGCTCTTGCTTTCCCGGCTTTCAGGAGTTCATTTGCAGAGCTTGATTTTTGTGGGAAGCACATTATACTGCCAGCCAGCTGTAAGCTGTGGGGTTTACCATTTCTGAATGTTTGAGATTAGTTTACCTTTTATGTATCGAGTTTGGGTTTTTGTTGGTTTTGTTTCTAATCAAATAGAAATGGTGTTTTTATGCATTTCCCCAGTTGCAGATACCTGGGGGTTTTAAGATGTCTCTGGATTTAGGCAAAAGGTGCATTTAAATGCTTGTGCTTCTCTTGACTGCAGACTCTCTTATTCCCTGAAGGGGGTATAAACATGCATGGACATATGGAGTTGTGCAATTGGACAAATGTTTCATGTGTGTTCCAGAATATCTTCTGTTAATTACTGGGAGCTCAGGAGTGCAAAGGAAGATTAGAAGGTTTTTCTTTGGGTTTGTTTTTTTCCACTTTTTCCCTTCCTGTCCTTAGTTGTAACATGTTTAAACTGTAGCTTTTAATTTTATTAAATAACTAGCACCTTAAAAGACACTGAGGCCCTTTTGGAAGCACCGTTTGGTGAAACCATCCTTTGAAACCGACTGGCCTTTCAGTGCAGGTATTTGGAAACAGTATCAGTAAGAGATTAAAAAAAAAAAAAACCCAAACACCAACCAACCGAAGATAAAACCACCCTGCAATTATTTGAAGATGTGGAAAATAGGTATATCTAACTGCATCTTTAAGCATGTTCCTGTTAAGTTTTTCTGTATGCAGTAGCTACTAATGAGTGTGCATTACCTTTTATTTGTTTAGGAGGCTCTGGCAGCTGCCTCGAACCCTGTTGGCTTATCTGAGACTGAAAAAAACCTTGGTTTGAAACATTGAGTACTTTCCCTTGTATCTTTGAAAAATATCTGTTGTGTTGATCTGGGGCAAACCTAACTTTTTTAGAATTCTTATACATGAATATATTGGAACAATGTTGATATGTATGTGAATATTTCTGCAAGTATAGCTAGTGTATTCTGATACAAATAAATTAGCTGAAAAAAGTTACTTTTCTGTTTGCATTAGGTCAGGCTGAAAGTTGTCTATCAGTCTTCCTCTTTAGCCTCTGAACATGAAATGTATCTAGAGCTTCAAATGTGGGTGGGCATTTTCAGGCATTAAAGATATTAATCATTGACCTGAGACTAAGATGTCTCAAGCTAATTATTATCCATGTTCAACAGCGAGTTCTGAAGGGTTTTCCATGT